GCAGAGAGAAAAGACACACACATATATATATATATCCCACATCTGGGCCTGGATATGACTTCATTTGTGTGTGGACTGTCATCCGATGGTAAAACATTTGAGGGATTAATGTACGAACCCCTGGAATGTAAGCTAGATGAAGACAGGGGTTTGTATTTGTCAGTCTTGTGGCCTATGATCATATTAAATGGTTATCAAATACCTGCTGGTAGAATCAGTAAGTACAGTAACACAGTGAAGAAGTCCCAGCGAAGCTAAGGTCGACTCAGTACAATAGAAATTAATGAAAGGAGTGTTGAGATGGCGAATTTGAAGTACTGACCATGGGGCTGCTTGCCTCTGAGGAAGTCTTTCCTGCCAGAGCTCTGGTAGCTCATGTGATATGTCTGGATCGACACAGACCTGCCCCAGAACACACCAAAGTATGGACAAGATGACATCTGTCCCCTCAGCTCACCCACCTAGGTGCCACTGAATTGACCTCAGTGGGCGTATTCCAGTGCATATGCCAGGTTAGGGAAGAGCAACTGCATACTAGGACAGGCCAAACGCAGTGCTCACTTGGATTGTTTGCCTTTCATAGTTGAAGTTTGTTGTAATCTCCATAGAAATGGATCCTAAATTTACCTTTGCTCTACTCATTCAATCCCGTCTCTAATCCAACCCAGCCTGATCCAACAAACACAGTGTGTCTGCTAGGACCTATGAATGGAACAGAGGGCTAAACTAGAGGTCTCGCTGCCTAGGGACTCAGTCCAGCAGGAAGAACACACACCGTCCACATGTGGGGTGAGACTCATAGATGCTGACCAGCCACCAGCAGAGGAGACAGCCATCCCCACAGCTCTGCCCAAGAGGCTGCTTGGGAGACACAGAGCACCACGTAAGCTTGGAATGACAGGAAAGGGGTTTCAAAGACAAAGACTGAGGTGCAGGCATGAGACTGGAGAGGCAGAGGGAATCTCAGCCAAGATATGGGAGAAAAATGTGGAGGAAGGATGTGTTTGGACCACGGGGAGTCACTGTGTTTGGCTCCATCCTACCAGCACATGGAGCGTGAGAGTGGAGGGAGCTGACGACACACGGGGAAGACCTTGAGTGTCTTTGCAGTCTGAGCTGGACTCCTGGGGCAGCTGCAGCAGGCCATGGAAGCTTTTGGACACTGGAGATTGTGAACATTGCCGAGGACACCCTATTACCAGTAATAACAGAAATAGAGGAATTTTTAAGTAAAAAGAACAAAAATCCTAATAAACACTTGATACTTAAGTTATACATTTTAAGATCACCCTGAGACAATACTACAGACTTTAAATTATTCTTTGCATATGCTAGAACCACAGAACCTTGGTCTTGTAAGGGAGTAAATTCTTGAAAAACACCTATAGGAATAGATCTCCAGGGAACTTTGGCCATGCCTGGATGTGTGTTTTGGTTGTCACAATGTGGAGTTGCTACTCATCTAGCGGGAAGAAGCCACAGAGGCTGCTCTATCAATGCTCAGGACAGCTCTCACCCAGTAATTATGAAGTCCAAATTGCTGAAGGTGTCAAAGCCGAGAAGCCTGATCTCCAGGGTGGTATTGTGGGAAAGACCAGGGTTCAGGATCAGACCTGAATACACCTTCCAACTCTATCCATGAGTAGCTGTGTGTGCTTAGGCAGGTGGCTTAATGTTCCCAGCCTCGGCCCAGGTAGAAGCTGAGGCATAAAACCTCAAACACAGTTACTTCGAGTTTACGTATGATAATGTATTTAAGGGGCCAATCTCCACCGTGGGATATCAGTTACCTTGTCAGTTGGGATGAATGAAGTTTTCACAGTATTTCGAAGGAATCTGAGCTCTTTATGGAAAAAACAGAAGGTATTTCTACTTTAGGTCATCTCTTATACTGTGTTGTTTTCAGTATATAACAGAAAACTGTGAGGGTGGGATTATACCGATGAGGGGCAGGAAGATGACAGCAGATCAAATTATACCCTTTTCAGTGTCCTCACTTGCTGGTCCTAGGTAACAGCTGGCTCCTGAACAGTGTAGCTCCAGAGACTTAGTTGGTTTTTTAGAAATGTTTTTGAGAATGACATTTGTGCTGCAAAATCTGTTTAAAATGGAAACTGGAAATACCTTCCACAGGGCAACTAGGTGACAATATAATCAACCACCTGCCCTCTGATCTCCCAATGAGTTTAGTAAAAAGTGTCTTTAATCTAACACTCCAGGAAATGCAAAGCCTCTGGCTTCTAAAGATGGCTCTTCAAAGAGAGCTGAGCTACAAATGCCCATAATTCTCTTTTATTGGTAGATAAAAGGATTATTTTTACTCAGGCCTTGATACTGTGCTGGAGTGAAAAGAAGTAAAATGCAGCTGTCACCGAGCATTAGTGGCTTAGGCAAGCTGGAGGTGGTGGGTTTATTAAATCTGAGCTTGGGACGCTCAGTGACTTAGGCACCTTCAGTGCCAGGTGTACCCCTCATGGGGGCCATCCCAGAAACCAAGTCCCTAGATGGCCAGTTCCGGCTGTTCGCCTTCCCAAGACTCCAGGCCCCTTAGAGAGCAACGAGGAGCCCATTCTTCATATGAGATGAGCACCTGAGCCTGGAGCTATTGGTCCCTTGAGGTTTTAAGTGGAGGCAGAAGTCATTCCTGCTGAGTTGGGAGACCCACCTGTGGCCCCATGGTAAGGACAGGTGGTTTACTTAGAAACAAGGAAGTCTTAAACTAAAATTTTAAGCCAAGCATGTTCACGTGTTGGAGTACTTATGTACTTCAGGGTGACTTTAAAAATTAAACATATTTATGCTTTTTTCTGACCACTAAAGTTTTTGAAACTTAAAATTCATTTTTTATCAGTAGTGACCTTTTTATTTACAGATATAACCTGAATACTCTTGGAACTCATCAATTAAAAATTTTTAGTGCATTTAACCACCTCTGTTTTAGCTGTAGGACTGGTCATTTCTTTCCAAGGGCTTTGGGGTTTTTTGACTTTCTAGCTTTTTGGGTAGACCCAACTGGTGTCTCAGTGTGCTCCTGATTGTCCCTGGCCATGAACCACACTCTGAATTCTTTCTGTTGGTGTTGACCCCTGGGCATTGTCTCTCTGTCCACTTGTTTAGCCTCAGTTGTCACCCTGGGCTGTGGATTATTTAGTGTCTGCTTTTCCCTGAGAGATCTGCCCTCAAAGTCCTTCTGCCAGGGACTGAGGACATGGCTTCTCTCCTTATTGCTCTTGTTCTCTTTTTGTTGGCATGGGGCCTGCAGCAGAGTCACCTGCGTCCTCCAGGATTGGACCTCACTGGTGTAATGTCACATGCAGCCTTGGCATTGTCAGTTGCCTATGAAGGGCTGGAGTAGCCTGGTTGGAAGGCTCTTAGGTGACCCAGAATGTAGAGCTCCCTTTGACCTTCAGGGCCCCAGGGAACCTATCACCCATCTCGTCATGAGATGCTACCTCTCTCCCCACCTAGCTGGACATGGCTGCATATGTCTGAGCCTTCCAAATGAACATATCTTGAGTTCTTTGCATGGGAAGTTTTTAGCCCAGCTGGTGGTCTTAGCTAGATGTGAGATGTTATCAGAAAACTATGCTTTTTCTGTACCTCAGCTGTACAGCTCAGGAGAATCTAGATCCCTGACAAGACTGGGATATTTGCAGAGTCAGGTCAATTGTCCACCAAAGCCTTTCCTTCCAGGTGCACAGCTGGATTCTGTTTCCCAGGCTCCCTTTAGGCAAGGTATAATCATGTGACTAAGTTTTGCTTGAGGAAAATGTGAGGAACCAATGTCTACCTCTCCAGGCCTGTCTCAGATAAGCCCCCTGAAAATCCTTTGCTCTTCTCCCCC